CTCTCTCTCTCACTCACTCACTCACTCACTCACTCACTCATTCACTCACTGGTAAAAAATTAAAAATTAGTTTTAAAAATAATTGTTTTATTATGTAATTAAAAATTATATTCTGTGTTCAATTTACTTAATAGAAACTTTTCACATAATAAAACAAAATTATATTATAAAATTGAATTATGCAAAAATTTAAACTTAATAAATCTCATAAACTTTTATCATTAATTTTCAATAAAATATATAATGCAGTATATACATAATGTAAAGTATTTACATACATAATAAATATATAATAATAATATTTATTTATGAAGATTGGTTACTAAATTCACGAGAAAACACTTTAGTTTATAAAAGCAATTTATGCACTTAACAGTTAATATTGATAAAATGTATTATAATTTGATATTATTAATGGTTACAAAATAAACAAAGTATTTTAATACAATTGAAAGGGCACTTTTATTAGTCTTATAGTTTACTAGTTGTCTATTAAAATATTATGTTTTTGCAATATTTTTCAATATATAAATCATGGCACAATTATCCAGATGTTTTAAAATTTTGTGCATTGTATTGATATGGTTTCACCGGTTTATTGGCATTTCATTTGGTGGCTTAACAATTAACGGCCAAAATAAACTATACCAAAACAAATGGGCTAGGTATTATGGCTACACATTCACAGCGGCCGTATTTATTTTTGACATTGGTACAATAATTTATTTTATTGCTTTCGGTGAGCGTTTTAAAAATGAAATGAGCATTAAATTCGGTATTCTACCATGGATATTTTTAACATTGTTCACTATTAAAAATATTGCCAAAATCTACTTGTTAATATTTTTAAACTGTCACGGCTTTCATTTAATTTATATTTTTGTAAAACAACTCGGTAAATATGTACGTAACAAATTGCCTGGTTCAATTTGTTTTATAATTACCTTGTGGTTTGTGCATTTGGTATTGTTGTCATTATTTACGCTCCATGTTCTTTATAATAAATATAGCCGTGTTGAGTCTTTTAAAGCACTAGTAAACCTATTCTACCTTGCTCACAATATAATTGTATGGACGGTATGCGCCATAATGTGGTGCGTTTCAATATATTGTGTTAATATATTAAATGATGTTCATGTCAGTTTAAATAATCGTATTGTACATCATGGTAAGTTAAGCTAATTACATTTAATAATTATATCAAATATTTCTTATTATTATATTAATATAATAGTAATTACATTTAATTAATTATAGACGTTAAAACTCCTGGTGATAATAACATTGACATATCTGAAATGTCATTAAGTAAATGCAAAACAATTTGCATCAAGGTAGAAAACACAATTGCTAACATGGATTTGCGGCTTAAATATTTCAACGGATTTAAAACCGTGTTATCGTTGTTGGAAATTATGATAAACATCTATACATTGTTTGCCCACAAAAATGATATACTAATTAAACCGATGATCAAAGTGTTAGTCTTTCGTAGCGTTGCGGCCATTATTGAGATAATCATTTCGTGTTTTATCTGCGGATCAGTTGACTTAAAGTGTCGGCAAATATCGCAACGATTAGCGGCAATGAATACTCGGGATATGTCGGACACGGAGTACAGGGAATGGCTTACGTTTGCGACTGTAATGCAAAACAGGCGTACGATTGGGTTTACGATCGCAGGTTTCGCACCCTTTAATAAACACACTCTTATTGCGGTACATATTAAGCAATATTAATGTATTAATATTAAGCAATGTTTTAATAAAATTACATTAATATTATTAATTTTGTTTACAGATATTTACGTTTATGCTCAACTATACTGTATTATTGCTGCAAACAAATAAATAAGTAAATAATAATTAACAACTAAATTATATATGGATATAATACTACAAATTAATTGATGGTAGATGATTTATTGATAAATCATATTAGTCTATTTTACTTGCTTAACTATCAATAATATACAAATTTGTTTGGTTTGTTATCAACATGACTTATACCTTTAAGAACAATTTATTTTAATTGTTATTAATTAAATTATCAAATTAAATATTTAATTATTAAATACGCTACATATTATTATTGTAATTATTTTAGTCTATTTGTTCATTCAATTTGTACTTATTATGTATACTTACAATATGTAATGTAAATTTTGCAATTGAAAATAAAGTAGAATAGTTTTATTAATTCAATATCTAAAATAACAAACTTTATTATATTTTTAAAATGCCAATATAAATTAAAACAATTTATTATACATACCCAGTCAACAAAATCTGTCCGCGCGCCATTTGTGATTACGCCTAAACTAGAAGAGCTTGATCAAATCTGTAAAAAGTTAAATGATGATTCATATGTCTAGTTTTTTGTCTTAA